TACTCACTTTTCTTGTTCTTCCGTTTGTGGCGTAAAGATATTCATTTCCACAAACTCCATTAGTACATTTAAATTCTTTTTATTAAAAAGAAAAACGGTTACTTTGTAACAGACTGATGCTTGCGTGAAAAGCAGATATGATGCTTCGGACATCGCCTCTATGTCGCCCCAAACACGAGCTATATAGATAAATTCAAAAAGTATAAACGCATATTGAGTTAGCACTATGAATGCTGTGTAAAATGAATGTAGAAATATAGGTCTTGTAGGTGTAAGCCATATGCCTAGAGCTTTTAAAACCCTTTTTGGTCGATTGAAGAATAAGTCGATACTGTTTACCGCCATCGTTGTAAGGTATTGACGTTTGAGTTCCAATCGACTTCTTATTATATCTATGGTGTTATGTATAAAGGATGTTGAAATACACAAAGTTACGACGATTAACAATGCGTTCTGTAGAAATTAAACACAGTTTTACACGCTGTATAGTCAAACTTCTAATCGTTCGAATTACGGTTTTAATTGCTTTTGTTTATAAAGCTAAGAAAGTTTATTGAAAGGTGGGAATTAGCAAACAAAATATTTATCAAAGCTTCATTATGACAGAAATATTTTATAAGGGAATCATTCCGACTTTTACACCATCGCAAAAGTTATTAAATTGTAGTTATTTCGTATTTGTAGTTAATTAAAAAAATCTTATGTTTACATGCAGTTGGGTAAACAAACCGCGTAACTAAGACTAACGGAGGAATCATAGGTTAAAAATGTAATTAAAATAAAACATAATAATGACAAATCAATTATTTATTAAATACATAAATCGTGTATCACATTGTGTACATTCACGAAGTTTTAGGCAAAAGTGTAATTAGTCTACCAACATTATGAAAATATACACTCCCTGTGTTTCTCTCTCACGCTGCCAACTTACACAAAACAGAGATTAGAGATTATAAATTCGTGCGCTTAAACTAAAACTATATTTAGCGTATAAGCGACCGTGTAAAAATTAATTACAACCTCAATTATTTAGAATATTACTCATATGAAAGATTCAACATTGACATTTCATTGTACATTTAAAATTGGGCGCCATTTGTCATTGTAATACGCACATAACCGCCAAACTGACGTAACAATAACCATATTGTTGTCCCTATTTAATCAAAGAGATAGAGAGGGATGACTATATGTTTCAACAGTCATTGGAAAATGACTAAGTTCAAAGACTTTCTATATGAAAAAACCTCAGTAGAAGGCCACGGTTAATGTAAGTATGTGTATCTTCACTAAGTAAATTTACTTATTATATAGTTACTAAACATATAAGTAGATACAATTTATTGGTAATGTGCGTGTATTACATGACAAGGCATTTCGTTTTATATATCACAGTGCCGTATGGTTCAAACAAAGAAATCATAACTTTAGGGGCAATCTATGAATGGTCGAATATTTAATTAAGCTGACAAATTAATAAAAATAGAGAGCAAAACTCGAAATTCGTAGAAAGTCAAATTAAAAAACGAAAATCTTCTACGAAAATGAATGTTGCCACTCTAAAAATGATAATTTGGTTAGTATTCAAATATTAGAAGTGTGAAAAAGCCCGATCTTTCTAAAATAACGAAATTGTAACGTGATGTGTTGTTGGTACGCTTAAAATGTTATTTTTATATTTAAATATATATATAAAGCTCTCAATACTGCTGCTTTTAATGATCATTTCGCCCATATTATTTGTTTTATCAGTTGGTAAAATAAAAGGACAATAAGTAAATGTATATTTTCTTACAATTTGCAGCATCTCATTGAGTTTTTTTTATTTTAAAGAGTTAATTAACAGTAGAACTTAAAGCATTTCCCTGGTCGCCTTACACGAATAGATAAAAACTAACGCAAAAGCGCGATTAAATTATTGTTTTTTTTCTTAAATTGCAACATTTATATTTAAATATTCAATTCGAAAAGTTTAAATGTAAGACAGTCGAAAGTTTTGTGCAAAATATGATCACTTGTAAGAGCGGATCCAGTTTTGACCCCATTCACGTCGTGATCAAGTCAAAAACTTGACAAAATATGTAAATATATTTTGTCAAGCTCTTGACCAACCAGCACAGAGGGGGGTCATGACCCCATACCCCCCCCTCCTGGATCCGCAGTTGATTAGTTCATGTTATCAATTATAATTTAATCAAGTAATATAATTAGAAAATAGTATTCGAGAAGTAAACACACAGGAAATTAACATCGAATTAATAAAACACATGTCAGAAAAGGTCATAACAATAAGTTCATTGACAATTATTAAAATCACCAAATATAACAATTTGATTTAAAAAAAGCACAGCAAAAAATTTATAATAGAAAAGAACCACAACCAGGTGTTTCACAAATAATAACGATTCTGTAATAAAAAGTACATAATCATTAAAAATATTTTTGATCTGTGATGAAGTGATGGCGGGAAACGTATTGACTAGTTGAAAAAAAGGCGCATGATGTTAAAATGTGGCCATCAAGCAATACAAGAAGTACTTTTTTGCTTATAAATAAACGAAAACAAGACTCTCAATGAAATATACTGTATTAGTATGATTTTAAAGCGTGAAATGACGTAACTTTTTTTTCTATCTACTTTTTGACAACTATGAAAGTCTATGATTCTGCCATACGGATTCAATAAAAGCACGATCACATTTTTACACCTACTTGGAAAGACTATTTCTGTGATTCAAATATTTTTATTATAATATACTAAAATCTATTGAATAGACCTACATATATTTACGAGAAATGTATAAAAGCTATGGAGTATTCAGCTACTATTCATACTGTAATTCTATTACTACAACCTTTTATAATTATGCAAATTGATTTGTTCAGTTGTTTAAAATACTAAAATATATGGGCTAATGAGCAATATTTATTACTATTCACTAACCTAAGGCTATGCAGAAGTTATAAAACATTGGTTTCGTGTGCTATCATTAAGTTTTTTGCCGCAACCGATTTTTGGCTGAGGTAGACGATTACTTTAGCCTGCGTTTATCATCGGTATGAAATCTGGCAACACTAGCCTTATGACGTCACAATATAATGTCATTTTTGACAACTAAGAAAGACACATGATAGAAAAATAGTTGAAACATGAAAAAAATAAAAGATAATTATTTTTAATCGATTTCTTGTATAGATCGATATTTTTTTTAGTATATTGGTATAATTCACATCCTTCAATTCGATGCATAAACAGCTGTCATATTATATTGTGACGCCATATTTGCAGTATTATCAAGCGACGCTTTCTTATTAGCGCGTAAAGTAAAACCATTAAAAATAACATTCTAAAAGCTGTGCAATTGGCAGTTTTTTTACTTACTTATCTGCTGAACATTTTGTGCACGTGATTTTTATTAGTCTGTTAACAAATGTATTGCTTTTTTCGTGTAATTAAAATATACTTTTAAATGACATTCATGTATCTACTACACAACAATACAAAATACTTTTATCCAGAAAATAGAGATCGTTAATTAATTTAAAATACACACTCTACTCAACAATTGAATTTATAAAAAAACCGACAAACGTTTTCGAGCTAGTAGTCAAGGAATTAAATTTACTTCCCACTTAGGATCTAACCTAAAACTGTCACCATATGAGCTATATTATAGCACATGTATGTTCCTGTGGCAAGATTTAACATTAGTTACAAGAAAAAGTGACATTTCATCCAAATGGGTAGGGAATTTACGTCCTCGACTGCACATCAAACCCTTACAAATTTATTTCAAATTTAACGTATCTACAATTAACATCCCTTCTCGCTTTTTTTCTAAACTGTGAGTACCTGCATTTTTTAAGCTTTCCCAAGGTTATTTCCATTATAACAATGAATTACAAAAATATTTATTTTCACAAAATATACGGAATGCGGTTCGATTATGAGCAAATTGCAGCCAACGCCGCGGTTAGTCTTTGTATGGTACCCGTCCATTTAATATAAGCGTTTTTTTATAATATACAAGAAAAAAGTTGAAACATTCATATATACTTATGCTGGCAATATACAAATTAAAAACAAAATTAACGTAACTATAATAATAAAAAGGTAACAATAAAACTCATCACGATTAAACATCAAATCGAGTAAACGAAAAATCGATAAAACAATAATTGGCTAATTTTTAGATAAAAAACAAATTTTATTTACATGGACACACAAACACACAAGAAGAATCAGTTAAAATGATAGTTAATTTATAACATTATTTCATATTTATTCAATATTTAAATGCAATTTTATTAAAACAATAAAGTAATTGGAAATTGCCATAAACAAAATAGATAAAGAATAAAATTGGTTTCCGGTTTTAAATGTAAACATTTTACAATAGCAAACTGTTATAAATTCCCAACAGGATAATTATTATTTTAAATACTGGCAACATTGTAAATCTTATTGCACAGATTAATAAACAGGGCAAGATGTTTATATGTAGACATAGACTGTATAAATTGCCGTTTATTTAGGTTTTTAATACCAAAAACATTATTATAATTCTAATGGCATTTGGATTAAGATGACAATAAATGATACACATTTTAAAATGTCGAAATTATACCAACATTTTTTTTTTGTGTAAAAACTTTTTGGACCTTTTTGGTACCGGCAACATGTCATTTCTATAGATAAAGCTAGCAGATGTTTTAATTCTAATATTGCTAAATTTTCGTCACTAATTTTATTCCTCACTTTCATATGGCCGTTATAATGTAATTTTAAAAAATGCTGTCAAAACTGATCATACTGACTAGATGTAATTTTTTTCGTTAAAATGAACAAAAAATTCTTTTCCTATTAAAACTAACGCGAATGGAGTACGGTTTATAAGTTAGGGATTTCTCGTGTTTGTATTTTTCGAACTGCATGAGATATCTTCATGGTTCCTTTATTGATTAGGGTATCCCTTAGTAAAACACACACTTACTTCCTTAAACTGTAATTACCTGTAAAAGAACAGCTTACATTAATTTCTAATACAGTCAAGTTAATAATGTTTATTTGTCTTCCAGAGAAAATTTTTCAATTACTGCACACGTTAAAAAATCACAATTTTGTGAAAAAAGTAATATTTAAGGTTTCCGTGTACAGTAAAGGAATTCAATTTGTAACCCACCACGACCACACAGAATACAGGCATAAAATGGAAGCAATACTGTGTTTTGTCTGAAGAGTGTGGTGTAGGAGGCCTAATTTAAGTCCCTTTCTCTTTACCACCCTTTTCTTATAAGGAGAGGATGGGAAGAAGAAGTAGATTTGACGGTTGAGGAGATGCATAGGAAGGGGAAATGTCCTCTTTATGTGCGTCTCCTCCTCCGTCAATGAAGGGTAGGTAACGCATCTGCGATTGTGGATGTCTATGGGCAGCGGTCGCTTTCCATTTCAGTGGATTCAGGTGGCCGCTTGCTCGTTAGCCAGCTTATGTTATAAAAAAACAACCTAATAATTTAGCATCGATGTTGATACTAGTTTTTTGACTTTTATTGCAAACATATATTTACATATATTTATTTACTCAATTCTTACAGTGAAGAAAAACATCGTGATGTTTCCACATCATCATCATCATCATCATCACCAGCACACTATACGTCCCCACCGAGGGGCTCGGAGCCCATCCTAAGTAAGGGGTGACTAGACCATATTCAACTACACTGGCCTACTGCGGGTTGACTACGCACATATCTTTGAACTTCTTCGGAGATATGTGCAGGCATCACGATGTTTCCCTTTACCGTAAGAACGTCGGTTAAATTATGTACATATGAAAATTCGAAAATCACATTGGTACAGCGGGATTCGAACCCAAGACCTGAAGATTACAAGTCAAGTACTTAAACCCTTGAGCCACCGACGCTCTGTTTCCACATATCGGTGAATAAATTCAAAGATATGTGAAGTCAATCCGCAGTGTGCCAGCGTTGTATTAAGCCGAGAACTTAGTGTAAATTAAAAAAAAAATAAAATAATGTTTAATTCTTGTCAACACTACAATTATGAATCAAAAAAAGTAATTAAACACAAAAAAATGAAAAA